TGCCCATGTTTTTATAAAATAAATAATTGCCCAAAATGTTTTTGCTCAGGTGCTCTGTGCGCTCACATTTTATTTGGTGCCCTATTGTGCCCCTGTGTAGTACTGGGTCAGCTGACGCCCCTGACCGCACCGTGCCTCATACATGCACTCCATCATTCTTCGCCCTCACTAGACATGGAGACACTTTCTGCTGTAAAATGAGGTGACTCTAAAAGAGTAAACTGAAACTTATTGGCTTATTTTTCTGACTGATCCAATCAGCTCTCTGATCAACCAGTCGCCTGGAACGCTGGTTGATCAGAGCATCGCTTTGGAAAGATATGCTGCACAGGTTTCACCAGCAACCTCCTCCCGACACCACGATCTCTCTCTTGTTGTTCCTGGGCAATCACAGTAGTTCTAATCTGCATATGATGCATGAATTATTGTATTTCTTGCCCGCTCTCACTCGCATTAAAAAACACCACCTCACAGAGTCTAAAATCCGGGATAATTTATCCGACTCTTGAGCATCCGTGAACAACTATCTACATCAGGGAGACTCCAGGAACTTCCAGGAGACCTGGGATGTCTGCAACCACCACCATCATATTTAACATCAGACACCGGAGCAGATGAAGGCCTGCTGTTGGGAACATGGCAGTCCGTTTGACACATTTCGCAGCGTCCGTTTGAAGAACTCGTTTCTTTGCGTTTCTCATCCATTACTACCGTGAACACCGCTGCACAAAGTTCCAATGGAGAGTGAAGGTGTTTCTCTACTTTCTGATTGGCCTGGCCCTTTAGACTGTCAGGTATGATAACCAATGGGCTGCAGTAGCCTGAGGTAAGGGCCGGATGATCGGAACAGACTCTTGCGCTGCTGGTTTTATTTTTCTTCATGCATTATGCAAATATAATCAGGCCGATATATAATAAAAAAATAAATAATTATAATAATAATACATATTATTAATATACATGTAGGGTCTGCCGGCCCAAACAGCACTTCGGTCAACCCGGTACGCCCGATTACCAGTCCATGCCTGGTTTCAATGCAAAGTCAGTGGTTGATGCACGTCAAGATGCATCAAAAGGTCCTGCAGCACGTTTTGAGCAGCAGGGGCAGCGCCTCATGAGCTTCTGCAGCTGCTAAAGTTTGGAAAAATTGAACTTCTGCTGCTGGACGTACCACATCAACCAATTAGAATAAACAAAATATGTACAATTTATTAATTTGGTGCTTGCAGTTTGGATTATGTAAATGAAAAATGCTTCCAGCCGCCACGAACAGTAGCGGAAAATGGTGAAGAGGCGACCGGGCCTGAGGCTGTTGTTGAAGGATCTGTAAAGTGCCTTGAGATGACATGTGTTGTGAATTGGCGCTATAGAAATAAACTGAATTTAATTAAATTGGAATCCCAGTGACAGCGCACTGCCAGTGAATGGGGTCTGAGTGGCTTAGACAGCAAAATAATCCTTGAAGGCAGGATGGTAATACTGAACAGATCATGTTTTCAGGAGGACTTTCTTACTTTCCGTAAAAGTTTAAAAAACAATCCACTGGACTTTGTTTCCAAGGTTTGAGTCCAGAGGATTGTTTTTTAAACTTTTATGAAATGACTATGAC